CGATCCAGCGAAAGACACCTGTAGTGAGCCTGAAGGGGAATAAGTCTTTTGACCATCTACCGTGGTCGCTGAATACAATATCCTGCAACCCAGAACGTCCACGGTAGATGTAGCAGCATTTTGAAGGCGCCCCATACCTTCCATGACGTCATCACACGTCAGGCTCACTGCAGAGACCACGCCGTCTATCTCCACATCTCGAGATGGGATGTAGACGTAATACTCTTTGTTATAAGCCTCGTCGTCAGCAATATCATTTGCGATATTATATGTAGGCGCAGTTATACGCAGTTTGTTCCGATTGACCTGATGAAATTCGGTCCCCGGGAAACGACGCGTCAATATTCTTTTAATCCCTAAGAAGTTAAGGGCTTTCTCTTTCTGCCGAAAATAGACAACCCAAGGCGAGGCAGAGGACGCCTGATAATGGCGCTTTCTAAGTTTATCATTGGGAGGCTTACTGCCCCCCTTTGAACCATCCATTAGAAATTAAAAATTGTCGTCAAAAAGTAATTATTATTTTACTTTTTTTTATTAACGAACCACCCTATGTGGAACGATTCTACTGGGGGAGAGACAGACGATCCACAAGCAAACAGTCAGAGGAATGGGAATACAAAAACAGATACGTGCTACTATTTGCCCTTACCGTTTCTACTGCTATACTGTTGCTGCTCTGCCACAATAGATGCCGGTCGTACACACCGTCCGTGCGGCGGCTCACTGCTTTCTGCTGGTTATTGTTTCCAGTCGTACACACCGTCCGTGTGGTTGTCGTTTGCCGATGTGTATTACACGGCTCTTGCTGCTGACTATGGCTCCGATAAAATCAGTTTGATATCTTCGAGCGGGTTAAAGATGGACAGTCCGATCGTAGGCTTCGCCAGGATCGGCTGCTTCCTTATGTAATGCGCGAGTCACCTGAGGCACAAAAACTGCTTTCAGAAAAAAAAAACTTTTCGCGGTGAAAACACTTTTAAAGCTATGCCATGTGACGAGACAACAGGCCTTGATGTTGCTCATTCGCAAGCAGAACGAGGAATGGGAAATCCCTTGACACTCTCTTATGAATTTCTTTTGAATCCGTTTATAAATTCCTTTGAAATTAAATTCCATTGAAATTCTTCTCAAACCGGTGGGATTTGAATTCACAAATCCCATTAAATCTCTTATCATAAATAAGTATAATTGGAAATTTTGGAATTTTAGAAATATTCAAATGTCAATTTGTCGAAACTCTTAGCTCGCCCACGCATACTAACACCACTATCATGTTGGGGAATATAACCCAACGTCAGCAATTCCATGGAATTCTTTTGTACTCCTCTCTTCTTCCATGGAATTCTTGTATTGAAAGTTTCGAAAATCTTTTCTAATGCTATACGAAACCCATGCGCTTTTCCAGTGATGTTATTACACCACAGTATACCTTAAACCATCTTTAGGATAAATGAAAATGATTTGGAATTACGGTTGTTTGAAATTATTAAAATATAAAAGTGTGATACGCCAAAATCGGATCATTCCTGTATTTTAATCATAATCTAATTGATCACACTACAAACAAAAATAATGAATCATACCATTCGATCAGTTTTAAATTACGTTTCCCACCACTTGAACTTTTTCATGGAACGTTGGGGAAATGTCGGCTTCGACAATACCTTTACCAATTATCGTAACCGGAGTTAATAGAGCCGCTAAACCTATTTAAAATGCTTTTTTAAATGGATGTATCTATGGTTGATGGACATGCTGCATTTTGTTTATTTCTTGCAACCCTCTTATAAAATAACCATAAGAAGAGCCTAACTACTTATTCCAGGGCTGGTAGCAGGTCACTTTTTAGTGACTTGGTCACTATTTTCAAGTCAGTCATTAAAAAGTAACTTTTTTCATCAAAAAGTCACTAAAAATTTAGTCACTAAAGTCACTTTTTACGACCAATGTTGAGAGTCAAGAATTTGACTTTAAAAACCCAAAGTAAAATCTGACAAGAAGAGTTGCGAACATATCAAGCTGAACATTGCATTAGGTCCTAAGTAACATTGATCGATTCTCTTCGTCGACTTTCTCTTTCGTTAATAGCTTGAGCACATAGCCGTTTTTTGCTGTGTTTGTTTTATCAGATGCTAGCTAAAAGCTTCTTTTACCAATCTGTGTGCTGAAAATACCTGGGAATGATTTTTGTTCAGAGATTTCGAAAAATGTTCTAAATTTAATATTCTGGCTATTTTACATTGAGATCTTGAAAGTTATCCAAACCTACACTGCAAAAAAAAAAGTTACTTAAAATGCACCTGAAAAGGCACGTAGATATTTTCACATAGAAATCAATTGATTTACACAAAAATTTGTTCGGACTTTCCGATGATCGTCAAATTGGCATCACTTAAAAGTTACGGTACGGGAATTGGCAAGTAAATGTTACTAGATTTTGTTGTAATGATAAAGTAAACTGGTGATATACTATAGATATATATTTCGATTTATTTGAGTCATTAAATGATTGCATTCTAGGAAAAAAAAAAAACACTAATTTACATTATTTAATAATTGGCACTGATGATCTCGAAGTACATTAATCGTATAGCAACATCCTTAAGGTCGTCAATTGTTGATTCTTAGCACCTCGAATAATCAATTCCCGTATTCTGCAATTTCATTTTTAATTTATAAATGAGTGTTAATTTATAAAAAATATAAAACTTATACTTGAAAACATGAAGAATCCTGGTAATTCCAACTCGTCCAACAACGACGAAAGCGCACTTTCTTCGTTGCCCATTTTTGAATTACGAATACGACAAAAAATTCAAGATAGAGCTGGGAATTAGGGCGTAACAGCTTTTGTATACAATGACTTCTTTCGATGATGATGATGATGACGTGCGGCACGTGAACCCTCTTGAATTTCTATTTAAAAGAGGTTACCTGAATTTTCAGGTAAAAATTACCTTTCCCGTTGGTTCCATGTAAAAAAATGGTCTAGGAAAATTTTCAAGCTCTCAACATTTGTTCAAAAGCCAGAAATTTGAATAATCTGTAACCCCTCGGTAGCTTTAGTATTTGTCCAAACATCGAGAAAAATAAACCATGTCACAGGTTCTTGAGTTCCTTTTTAAGTCCATTAAATTGTATTGTATTTTTCCATGCTTATATTCCGGTAATACAAAAAAAAATCAGGTCCAGGTCTTAGAAAAAAAAATTAAAGAACTCTCAAATGTATTCCTAAATCTCTATTTTTCACTATCGAGATTTTAAGTCCTAGACGCATTCAATTTTGTCCGTGATCATTCCATCTCGGTCATAATAATGAGATTTTTTCTTAAACTGCGATCTAGAAGAGCTGTCTAGATCCCAGAGTTTTGATTATTTTTCTATGTTTGAGGTGTTACAGAAGATTCTATTCTTGGGAGGAATACAGCAAAGTAAAAAGACGACCAGTTAGTAATATAGCGACTACATAGAAGAGAGGGATCTTTTATTAAGATACTAATGGCTAAATTAGATCTATATACATTTAATTCTGGACTGCAGTTCTTCATGTTGTTAAATGCATCGCTTCATACATATCCTAGATCCTCAAAAATTGCTATCCTAAAATTGTCTAAAATCGGTACTTTGAACATTTTTCTCTGTGCCTCAATTTCGCGATCTAATAACAATTTCTTGTGAGGAAATGGAGGTTAGAATTGGACCGTGCTTTTGCTTATTCAATTCATACTTTTTTTTTTACAACAAATTGATGTGATCTTTAAATCATTTGTTTTATTTTTAAAAAGCACGAAAAATATTGGAATAGCGGAACAATATCTTTCCGATCAATAAATGTCACTATTGGCCACTTTTTAATTGTTTGAAGGTCACTATTTGGTCAATATTTTCATAATTTTAGTCACTAAAGTCACTACTATTACATCGCATACCCACTACTAGCCCTGTTATTCAAGATATCATCTCAAGTATATGCGTTATAGTCGCATGATCTGTGATTCCATTTGTGTATGGTTCCCGCTTATAAGGGTTGTAACACATAGTAAATTACGATTGTTATGTTGTTTGAATCTACTTCACTTCTTGTAACTATGGGTTGTTGTACGATTTTTTGTTGTGGTTATTAAATAAAACCCTAAAGCTTCATGAAAATCCAAAAAATTCCGTTTTATACCGCAAATAATCTGTCGTTACGCATTTGACTGGAATCAACAGTCTAGCTAATAAATAATACTGCAATCTAGGTTGCAACCTAGGCCAGGGCCCAAGAATGCGGTAAATAGGGTAAACACTCAGAAATCGAGAAATTTGACAAAGTTTTCAGCTCTCCAAGATTGTTTTAACAATGGGATGTGTTCCGAATCAATCACAACGTCCGATTCCTATTTTGACGACATTTTCTTTAAACTCAAATAAATTTCAATCGAGCAGTTTAAAATTTGAATATGCCTACCAAATCATCGGCTAAAATGACGATTCTATTGAAAAAATACTACAATTTTACAATAAGCTATTGGGAGAGAACTCTAAGCTAACGTGACGAAATGCAGGCTTAGCGTTAAACCAGGTTTACCGAGTTAAGCGGGGCTTGCGAAGAAATTAGCCCTAAGCCTTTCACGAACCGCAAAGCTGGACAATTCTCGAAAACGGACTCAGCAGCAACCAAACCAGAGATGCTTTCGCAAAAGGACATTTTCTTTCTAAGTACAAATCATAACCAGCGAACTTTTTTTTTTCATATTAATTGCAACAATGAAGCAATATTTAATACTTTATTTCATTCAATCATTCCTCAATTCAACTGTTTTTTTTTTTGTGTTTGTTTCCTGTTCTCGCAAATTGTGTTTGTTTTGTTTTTTAACTCTTGGTTCTCTCATTTTATCTCAATCTATTATGTACCATTTTGTGTCTGTGTGTGTGTGTATTTTGCTCCAGTTTTCGTCTCAGTGACTTACTCTTATTATCCTTTTTGTGTTTTGTTTGTTTTACGTTTCATCCATATATTTATAGGTTTTTTGTTCTCAATACAATAATATGAATTTAGGGTTTTTTTGCTCTTTTTTTTTTTGTTTGGATTTTTTCTCATTCGCTTTCTGGCTCATGCACTGTTTTTTTTTTCAATTTCAATTGATTTTTGTTTTTTTCATTCTCTTTATTCTCTGTTTTAATGTTATACAGCTATACTCCTAAACCTAGAAACTTCCTCCTTACACTTGTAGGGTTGTTTTCTTCTGTTTTCTTTTACTGTTGCACATTTTGACGATTTGTTTCTGTTTTCGTGTATGTAGTTATTATCCATTTGTATTTCGCACTCACGCAGCTCATTCATTCGATTGCATGTCTTTGCCCGACACACAAGCATACACGCACTCGCCGTCAGTAGAAGTATAAATTGATAGAACCACTTCACTGTGTGTACCATGCGCTTGCTTTCGTTCAAGTTTTTCAAACTTAATTCATTCTCTTGTTTACTTGTGTTTTAAAACATTGATTCTTATGTCTTACTGTTTGATAAAGGTTTTTGTTGCTTCATTAAAAAAAAATCATAATTATAGGTGATACGAAAAGAAACTAACGTTCAATTAAAATGGTTTTGTTTTAAATTAAAACTTGGTCTCGTGTGTGTATGTGTGTTTCTAACCTTAACATTTTGATTAGCTATTTACAAAAGATTAGGAAAACGTAAAGGACACTTAATAAAGAATAATAAGGAAGATAATAAGCAAATGTTTCAATAAATAAAAATCTGCACGTTTAATTAAAAAAAAATAGTAATAATCTAATTACACTATGTACAATTTTCAGCTTGATTTTTGTTCCCAAGACAAGCGGGTCGTCGCCGTTGTTTGGATTTTTATTTTCTTTTTTATACTTTATTTTAAAAGTAGTTTTAAATTATCTGCTTCTTTTTTTCTGCTGTGAAATAAGGGTTTTTAGAACGGATTGATAATTTCACTTTTTCTTTGTGTTTTTAAAGTACGGTTATGTTTCTTGCTCCTAACCTCATTCATCTCTGCGCTTAAAAACAATGTCTGATCTCACTTTCGTTTGCCATCATAATCCAGCTTTCGTTTTGTTTTTGTCTTCTTTTATGTCTCATGCATGCACTGTCGAAAAAGACGGTGTTTGGTAAAATTTGGAATTGCCTCATCACCTATCAAACTTTGTAAATTCCGTTTTGTCTCAATTTCAACTATTTACAAAAAGAAAAGAAAAGAAAAAAAAAGATTGCAAACCCCTCCAACCATCCCGTATCAAATTGAATGCCATGCAGTTTTCAAATCTATCTTGTTTTCCTAGTTTCCCCTGGTAGGTTTTCCTTGATAAATTCTTCGATTTGTTTGTCTCATTATTACTTTTCCGTTTCTGAGTACTACACTCTGATTGAATTCAATCATGCTAATAATTGGAACATTACAATGTTTTGCTTCTTCTTATCTCTCTTTTTTTTTTGGGTGTGTCAGTGTCTCCTATCCACTAAAAACGCAATGTCTTCCTGTTTGGCTTGTTTAGATTATTGTTTGTCTCCCAACTACACGTGCATCATCCTTTCCATCCAAAACAATACAACGGGAGGGAATCTGATTGTTGCTTCTGGCCAGCCAGCCAGCCAGCTCGCTCCTAACCGTCCTCCGATGCGCGCCCGTAGGAGGAGGAAAAATAGAGATCCTCGTTTGTTTTTTTAGGTTTTGCTTAGTAAAATATCAATGCTCTTCATAGTAATTTGCACACGGTGCCTCCTCCCCGTGGCGCGCAACCGATTTTTATAAAACTCTATCCGTACCTAGAAATAGTTACTACTCTTACGGGTTTAAACTTTGTACAGTTGTGTAAACTGATCTGCCTCTTTTACTGCTTGTGTTTTAGTAGTTTTCGTGTCTCTCACTTAGTATGTAGTAGTACTAGTAGTAGTAGTTGTTGTTGTTGTTGTAGCTTACGCTTCCAGTAGCACCTTGTGGATGGTGGTGGTTGAGGAGGAGGAGGTGCTTGCAGAAGGATGCATTCCGTGGCGGGCAGGTGAAGGCGAGGGAGATTTTTTCGACAGGTTTAGTGGGGCATCGGTGGTACCGGAAGTGGAGGAACCACCGGCAATGTCCACTTGAAGCTCGATCAAACGAGGGGAGGGAGAGGGTGCCGTCACCACGGACTGTGGAGATCCAATGGAGCCGGTGGTGGTGCTGCAGGCTTGCTGTGCCATGGCGGTCATCGGCGGGGAGATCGATGTTGAATGTGGTGACTGGAAGTAGCGGATGCTAGTACTGCTGGTGGCGGTACTGGAAGAGGAGGAAGTGTCAGCACTTCCGGTGGAATTGAGCGATGGGGAAGGAGTTTGCTGGCGGGTTGTGGTGATGACACTCGTTGGACCACTCTGCCACCTACTGTTGCTGCCGTTGGATGAGAATGGGCATCCACTTCCGGAGGAAGATGAGCTACTGCTACTACTACTGCTCGAGGTTAACGGTGAGACGGATGAGGATCGTGGACTACATACTAGGAGGCCACTCCGGTACGGACCCTGCGCTTCGGAGTGGTGCTGATTTTGATGAGCGTGTTGCGATTCTCGCATGATGTAGTTGTGGATGATGTCGGAACGTTTCATCTGTTCCGGTGTCATAGTGGGTTGTTCCATGAGGGATTTTGCCAGCACCGAGTGCGTGCTGGATAGGGAAGACGACTGATGGCTGGCGGGAGGTGTCGCCGAGTGATGTTGTTGATGATGATGGTGGTGAAGGCTTTGGTGTGGTGATTGATTCAGCGGCCTCGTTAAATGCATATGCAACTGGGATTGGGGCTGCTGAGGAGAGGGAGATTGCGCTGCTCCCATACTGCTACAATGCGACGAGACCACCGATTGTGACGAGCTGGACGATGGTTTAGGTGAATGTGATGAAAGAGTGATTGTAGACGAAGAGGATGAGCTTGGAGCAGGTTCGGCTTCACTTTCCCGTTGGCGCATCGCACGGAACTTCTTGTGTGGTTTGTACGCTTCGTCCATTAGACTGTTGGTATCGTACAGTGGTGGTGCCTGTAGGACACGCTTCAGAACGGGCATATTCTCCACAATGTGGCGTTTATCGTCCGATTGATCCTCCAATGAAGATCGTGGACTCGAACAAGACGACGATCCACTGCTGACTGGTTTGTGGTCGTGCTTCTCGTTTCCGGACTCAATGCCGGAATCGGTGGGAGAGTCCAACTTTCGGTATCGGACGTGATGGGTTCCAACCGATCGGATAACTGGAGTAATGGTCAAACCGTTCTGCGCCAGATGCGCCGTTCCACCAATGATATCATCCTCAGCCGACGAACCGGAACTTGCCCGATGGCGAATAGGACACTGACCGGACAGAGTAGCAGCCAACAGGGGTGCCGAAGCGCTGAGTGATGAAGGTGTATGAGAGTAGTCTGAGGTGGTTTCTGCCGACTCCGTACTGGATACCGAACCCATCGGACTCTTAGCCATGTCTTCCACATTATTGCCATCGCAGCTCCACGTGTTCGAGCTGGGACTCTTTGCGAGCTCTTCTTCAGCGTTCCACATGTGTTGCCGCAGTAGCTCTTTGTGTTCTGTTCGGAACACAACCAACTTCTCCGTATGCAAGGTGCTCAGCGTCCTTAGGTCCGGAAGTGTTCGCAGCAGTTCCTGCATGAATTCCGGCTTATCGGGCCGGTTTTGCGATACGATCGACTGCAGACAAGCCTTCAGCTTGGAGTACATCCTCTCAATCAATTCCACATTCCGCAGTCCTGGTCGGTCGGGCGTTATTAACACGATGGCACAGAATAGACCGATTTCCGCGTCCGTCAGATTCATCGAGTTCATCCGTTCGGCAAAGTTGAACGTCGAATCGACCAGGAAACGTGCGTTGGCACCATTCTGAATCGTATCACGGCGCATCACCTGCCCATTCAGACAGATGATCGAATTGATCTGTGAGTCGAACATGCAAATCAGACGCACAAAAAGCGCATCGAACAAGCCGGCCTTCAACAGGGTGAACTTATCGTCCTGGGTCAGTATTTGGAAGCCGGGAATCATGCCGGCAAAGTCGATCACGCCACGAATAACATGGGCAAAGCGTTGACTAAACTCCTGTTCCGATTGAAGTTCTGGCGCCGGGTTGAGTGGGCAAGCCTGTAAGCGAAAACAAAGTAGAAACAGAAAATCGTTAATATAGTACAAAGCAAACACGGAAATAGGGCCGATAAATCACCACGCGTTTCCATCTCATTGATAACGAACGAACACGCGCGCGCGCGCTCGGTCGCCTACGCAACCACGCGGAAACGTTATTTCGCTTCCTCAATCCCGACCCGACGATCTAGTACTCCGTGTATTAAGGTATCTTTGTGCGCAGATTACATCACAGTAGCCTACCTATCAACGGACGATTCCCTCTGTGTCGTCGTCGTCAGCGACTACTTGGATGACGTCCATTCTATGCTCGCGATAAGGAACTCATACTCACACTCTCGCGGGTGCTCGACTTGTTCAAATAAATCAAGCAGGGGAAAATGAGTGTTTTTGTTCGGTCATTCGCTGTTGTTGTTAGGGTTGGAAAAAATGCTTCCTCATCCTGACCTTGAAAACTTATTGATATATTATGGCTGTATGTGACCTGAGAGTTTCTGTATGTGGTAAGGGGTTGGGGTATTCTATTCGCAAAACTATTTTCGGTCATGCCAAGGCCATCGACGTCAACGTCGTCGTCGTCGTCGTCGACGTGTTTATGAAAAATTAAGGAACCCCTCCCCACACAATCCGGTTGGTCCTGTTAGTCGTCGGTGTCGTTCTGGCGCACTGATGGTGTTCTCGAGATTGGAGCTGAGATTGACCTTTACCAGGGTACGGAACCGTTTTGTTGTTGCTGCTGCTACTGTTATTATTGTGGCTACCAATAGTCGTCGTGGGGAAGCAAACATTTTCAAGGCATTCATTGTTGTTGTTGTTGTTGTTTTTCTGTAGGAGCAGCAACGCAGTAGCAACAGCCGCCGTGATTAATTATCAACACGCGGTGCCTTGTGTATGCGGTGCGATATTGTGTAGCACACGCAATACATTTTCATTTTTGTGGTTTAAGAATGCTTCCTCAGTTATAGCTGCTACACGACCGCTGGTGGTAGTAGCATAGTGAGTGACCCACCATATTCCTCGGCGAGTAGTGTAGTGGTGTTGGTGGATCGATATGACGTCGTCCTCGCACGTAGGCAGCGCGCTTGGCATCAGCAAACGAAACGAGCAAACGTTCTTTTCCTCTTATTGTACATACATACGTTCGCATAGAGGCAGAGAGCGCGCGCTAACATACCAAGCCAAGGTCGACGAACTGGGTTCAAGGTTTCAGCAGCAGTTTTTTTGGCGTATCGGCTTTTCGGACGCGCGCTCGGGTGCTTGCAAGAGAGCGCGATGAGTGTGTTAGATTTCTTTCATTTTTTTTTGTGGCTCATCAAATTTTTATTGGAGCTTCTTCTTGCGCTTAAGACGGTTGCTTGATACGTATATAATTTATTTGGCCTCAAACCAGTCTGGAGAGGAGCGATGAAGCGCCAAGGAAGCCCGCAAACTAGAATAGCGCGAAACGATTACCATGTGGAAGAGTTTCATGCATGCCTCGTTCTCGGAAGGACAATGAACTTGGCGGATGGTACTCAGAAATGCTAAAAACGGAAGTGTTGAACAACTTCAAATTTACTTAACTTTAATTCAAATACTCATTGAGGGGGGTTGACAGGGGGTCATGGCATCTGAGACAAAGTTGCAGAGAAAAATAAAGTCTTTCTAGGTGAAATATACACGCATGTCAAATACACCATATTGAGAAAAAAAAATACAAAATATTAAATGACCGAATTTTAGCACACATATGAAACAAAAAAGTACTATGCAAATTGGAGAATGTCGAGTCTGATCGATTCGTTAAATTCGGTTTTTCGGTAATGGGAAATGCAATACCGGTAAAAACCGGTAATGAGCAATTTTTTTCGTAAATTTAAAATGCTACTTATAATCGGGAAATATGAAATATTTCATCTATAAGCTGTGTGTCCGAATTAATTGAGTGTTCATAGCACATCCCAAGCCATTAACACATGTTAGACCCTTACCAAGTGAAATAGTTATTTGTAAACCAAGAATTAAAAGGTACGTGAATGCTACACACTATTATTAGATTTACAAATTTAAAGCTAAATATGCCACTTTTGCTGATTAAGCAACTAATCCTACCAAATATTGTTTTTAAACAGTCCAAACGGTGCTCAGTTGCTAGCCCAAGCTATATTATTAAACAAAAATGATTTCTAACTGGAGTTTGCAAAAGTGCAGAATCAATAATAATAAATGCGCACTTTTATGTTGTATCGGCTTGGTGTCTTTTGCGATTTTTTTCGTTATGAACCTGTTGTCAAAAAATCTGACGCAAGTGCTATTTTTCTCAGAGTCTAATTTTATCAATTGACGTTAAAAGTATCATACAAACAAAAGAAAAATCAGCATTCCAAAAACCTTCACCATTCGAAAACTAGGGCTGGCTTGTCGGTGGTTGAGTAGTAAACGTGTCTGATTTCTCACCCCAGTGTGGCTATGTTCAATCCCAGCCGAGGTCGTCGCGATTTTTCTGAGGCGAATTTCTGATCACCTCTTCCTAAACACGGAAGTAAATTCGTTGGTCCCGGATCATGTGTTATTGGGCTAGATAGATTCCAGGTGTGGAAGTCGCATCCTTGGCACTCGATTTTCGTCGGTGATTAATCACCAATGAACCATTGACGCTCGTCGGTGATTGGCACTCGATTGTGGAACAGAGATGGACTTTAAATAAAGGGGAACAAATAAAGCGGTGGCTTTTCCGGTCATTTTGATACAGCTGCAGAAATATTTTATTGGAGGATCGTTGGTTTTTTTTCTTGATATTTTACATACAAATAGACGAGAGAAAAAAAGTAGAAACAAACGCACTAAATAACACATGTTTTATATGAAAAAGTATCGCCATTGAAACCAAGGTAGAATTTTCAAAAGGACGTATCTTCTATTGTAAACAAAGATTTTAGCATCAATTCGTTGAATCTAATAGCTCGCCCAAGAATGTTTATACCACTATAATGTTGGGGATATTTCATTCTATCTTATGGTAGTGTTAGTTATCGTGGAGGAACTAGAAGTTTTGACAAGTTGACGTTTGATTCTTTGATTACAAAAGCAGACACATCTTTAAGAAAAATCATCCTTGAAACATTAAAATAGCCCTAAAATGACTGGAAAGATTTACAAATGATGAAGCTCTGGCATTGACGGTTCGTTTGATGTTTTGTGGTTTATTATATTAAGGAGACTTTCAGCCCGAGGCTGGTTCATATCCGAAAACGGTTCATTTGACTCAAAATCAATCATTCCGCTTCTCCCTTATCCTAGACCCACACAGTAGTGTAAAAGTCCTACATGGAATGAGAGTAACTCAAAATTGCAAAAAGTGACGTTGCTCTGTGATTTTTTAGGAAAATCGAGAAAAAAAAATTACTCAGTCACTCACTAAGTAACGCCACATTTTGCAAAATTTGCAACACACGGGTAAAAATATTGTCAATACTCAAAAGTATTAAGGACCATATTGATGCAAATATTGACGACGAAAAGATTAATGAACATGAAAACGAACAAACAGTTTGATTTCGGGTTTTAATATTTCCAATCATTTTATTATAACCATATTAGCATTAGTATATTAGCATATTCCAATTATTTTATTATCAGCATATTAGGCCTGATCCTGGGCATCTTTTGTCAGTAAAGTTGTCAAAATTTGTAATACCCGTTGGATTATTCCGGTACAAATACCAACGGGTATAGCAAATTTAATGAGGAGCAGCCTTGTATTGTTAACCCACCAAAATTATTGTTGAAAATATTGTTATTCACAATACTTCTGCCGTGTGGGGTACACCTCCAGATTCAGCAAATTGAAATTTAAATATTTTCGAAATAAATAAAATTTGATTTATTTGGTTATTTGAAATATATAGTATTCGAAATAACATGCAAAATCTCCAAGCGCTCAACTTTGAAAGTTGACTTGATTTGTAAATTTCAATAATCTTAGCTGTTCATCACTGCACCGGATATCAACCTTAACGGAATCTTCCATTTAAAACCATTCAAGAACTACCTGATCGGCCCCGACAGAAACGATGAAGGTGACAATTTAGAGGTCCGCTCTCCGCTCACGGGAAGTATCAATATCCCCCCGAAAACCGAAGCCGCTTTAATGCGACATTCAATCGATCGACCGATCATGAACCTGCCCGGCTCGAACTTCAAGTTGACATTCAAAGCCGCGACGTCACTCGATCTCTCCACTCGATATAGCACTATAATATAGAAAGAGAGTCAGGCCAGTCTCTAGTCTGCTACTGTTGTGGCATTTATACACCTCGCAATATGGCATGTGGTAGGTTCTGTTTGCATTCCTCCTCGCTAGAGGCAGAGAGGAGAGAGAGAGAGAGGCGACGTGTTTTTATTAGCAGCAGCAGCACCCCCAGTCATTCAACATGCAGCAGCTCAAGGTCTTATAACCGTATATTCTAGCTCGCTAAATTTATTTCCGCATTATCTGTCTGGCTGTGTGAGTGTGTATTTTTGCCGACGACGTCGCTATCCGTTGCTTGCCACAGCCGCTCGATTATGGCAATAAAAAACAAAACGCTTACAATCGACGCAAATCGCAGCAAGCGGTGCACGTGGGGGCATTCTATCGCAAAACGTGTCCTCCCCTAGGCACGCACCGCAAGGTAGGCTGATGAGCGTTCATCGCCATGGTAATCAGCCTCCATCATCGGATCCCTTCGATTGCTAGTTTCGACGATGCAGCGTGCTTGATATCGGTCACTCAGCGCCGACTGCCTACTTCCGTACAGCATTATAGTTTGCCCGGTCAGTGGATTTTGTGTGTGTCTCTGTTGCTATACTCTACTCGTCTTCAAGGTCAGTAACGAACGACTACTACTGGATCGGTGTTATTACTACTACCGCTGTGGCGTTGGCTGCTGTTACTGAGAGTAAGCTAAGCCGCTCAGCATGACACACAGTGGGGGATACATATCTCTGCTCTCTAGAGTGGTGTGTGCGGACGCGTTCTGACACAAGGAAACGACGACGATATTGAACTTGTTCGCGCGAAGGATGACCTTGAAAATAATTTTCGCAAATGGCTGTCGACGGCAGAGACGGTGCCCTTGGCAACTGGATAAAATCCCACCGGAACAAAAAAAAATACATTTAAATTTTAGAACGACTTGGAGGTGCAATGGTGATTTACGGCAGTTATAACCAAATGCGTCGTAGAATTGTAATTGCTATGGTTATGGAATGGTTTGGAACACTTACCAGAGTAGGCATGGAGTACGAAGGACAATCGCGAGCACGTTGCCGCATTGAAGTAACCTTTTCGCGGGTAAACTCACACGTATCCATGTGCGCTCGCAGAACGGCAGCCAAGAGACGGGGCTGGTCGTCTAGTTCGGTGGCCAGTGCCCGCTGGTTCCCTCGGTTTTGCGTACTTTGCTGCATGGCCGCCAGGATGCGGGCCTTCTCGCGTTTCGGCACTCGACCAAATCTGACCGCTGTAATGATAAGAAAATCGTAAACAAAATATTAGTACAGTTTTAAGCTATGAAAACTTGTTCCTAATAAAAGATCTCTCAACGAACACAGGAAGTCTCATCCCTGGTGGTGACGACCTATTTCCCTCACGAAAAAAAGTATCAAATATCGAGCATTCATAAAAACACGTTGACCTCCTATGACCAAATGTTTGCTCGTAGCAGCACCTGATGGCAGTAGACCATGAATCCTTCAGTTCCAGCCCTGACCGTCAACCACATGACTCATTCAAAAATCATAAAACCGTCGCTTTTAAGCAGCGGTAGACACGGAGCCACAAAAATATCAACAAGGAAGCCTCCAACAGCTAGAGCTACAGCGCACACGGACATGGATTGGTGAAAGGGTTAACCCTGCTCATTTTTTTTTTGCCGAGACTGTTCTTGAGTTTCAGGTCGGAAGCGTCCTCCAGAACGAGCCACTTTTCAATGGCAGTGGTGTTTTGGAGAGTACTCGCTCGTTGTTCAATTTGAATGCACCACAAAGCAGGCTGTGGTGCGAACAAGGATGTTGGCTTGGCCTTTCATTGAACTCGAAGCGAGCAAAAGTCGTCGCCGTTCGCGCACACCTTTTGCGAGATGGACGCTGTGCCATGCGATTTTACGAGGAGCAGTAGCAAAAAAACGAACCATGAGGTCGCTTTCATGGTGCTTTATAACCTAGTTAAGTCAGTCAGTTCCGTGTCAATCGCGTAAAGCGAAAGCCTACTATGATGACCTACTAAACGAGCAGACACGGCGTGGTCGTGTGCGCGCTCGCTCACTCATCTTTCAATCTCCGGTGCGAGGTATGTATCGGCGTGTGTAGGTTGAACGACCCCCATTGAATGGGTATAATAGCATGAGGAGTCCCCAAAAAACCGAAAGCGCACTCTGGTTTAATGACCTTCTCTGAGCTGCTTTAGCTTTTCACTTTTTTTGCGTGCAGACGGCTGGTCGGTGGAATTTTCGGCCACCTCTTTGGCATCAATTTCAATGGAGCTGCTGCACCTGGGACCAGTTGCGGATCAAGCAGAAGGGGGGAGGGGGTCTCGAATTCACTTTCTTTTATCAGACGGCTCAAGCCCCTCTTTAATGCTGATCGAGCGAAAGAGGGTGCAAGTGAAAAGTGAAAAGATACTAGCCCAAAATAAGCCAGTTGTAAAGCGTGTGTTCACACACAGCACAGCACAGCACCGTGCAGAGAAAGAGAGACCAAGATAAATAAAGTAAAAGTGTGTTACTTTCACACGCCGTTCGCTCAGCTGATGCGCTAGTCTGTGCGCTCTCTGCGAGAAAACCGCCGAACGAAAAACGAGATAGGTCCCCCAATGAAAGAGTTCAAATTCGGAACTTGAATCGAACGTCGCCGCGCGCCGCACCGGAAGAGAAGGGGTCGGTCGAATTGATGCAAACGAGTGAAATGGGGGTATGTGTTTAATAGAGAAATTACAAACAGCGCCCATGTAGAAGAAGAGAAAGGAGGAAAAAGCGAAAACACAAACAGATTTGGCCTTTATTTTGACTGCAATATCGTGTGTACGAGGTAGAAGGTCTCGATTCCGATACTGCCGGTGGCGGGGTCTGATAGATTGAAATCAAGGTGTGTGCAGCGTGTAAATTGAAGCGAAGGTGAGAGTGGCATGCTGCGTTTCCGTGTTTCACTTTCGTCAGCCTACCTACACGTTAACTTGAAAGTACCCATTAATGAGTAAAATTTTACCCATTTCAAAGAAAAATTGCTTAACTCAGGTTGTATTCCTATCTATTTAATTAATGAGTAACTTTTTCCCATTAAATATCAATAATGGGTAGCAGATACTCATTAAATGGGTCAATTGTTTATCCATTAATGAGTTTAAACCGCTCTACTTTAAAATGGGTGAAATTTTACTCATTAATGGTTACTTTCAAGTTAGCGTGTACACCCTAGGCCGCCAGTAGCTGCTGTAGAATAGTAGGCTATGCACGAGACGCGTGTGGAACGCAAAACAGGGAAATGCGCAAATCGAGTAGTGGGAAAAGTAGGCAGTGCAAAATGCGTCACACGTGACTGGACGAATTTAGCAAAAAGTGGATTGCTTTCATGACGTCGTGTATGAAAAATGATTTCCAATAAATTATACTCCAGAAAAGGTCGCAATCAATGTCTGTATATCAATCACGCAGATTTGAACGCAATATGTCCTAACCACACTGCACTCTCATAAATTCGCTCACAGTAGGTAGGTTGGCAAAAATGCCAAAGTGAAAAGCATTTTTTATCGGTCGCTTTCTCTGCGTTCCTATCAGTGGCTCTCAGTTGCTCTCTTTTGCTCACCCGGCAAAAATAGCCTGCTTGGATCCAGCGGGTTGGATGGGATGGAAGCGAGATGGCAGAATCAAGGTCAAAGATCACAATTATTCGCACACTTTGGCGTGCTCTGTATTCTCCTCCTAACGAGAGGTCAAGTGCTGGGTCGATGGAATGTGGGTGGTAAAGGCTAACCGCCACTCACGCGTACATCCTATACCCATAACCGGGATCAGCATTATGAGGAAGAGGGAAAGGAAACTTTGCTCTCCAACCTGGATGATGTTAATAGTGAACTGCTCTGCTAGGATGACGGTGGTAGAGTTAGATAAAAAATAAGAAACTTATGTTTCCTTCAACCTACGTGCATTATGATAAGAGACAACTCCCTTCAGGATTCCCTTCAATATTGGTAATTCTTCGCTCATGTTTTGTTTGTTTGCTTTGATTTGTAGACTTCTTTTGCGTCTAAAATTGGAACTTATTCTTTGGTACTATTTTCACTGTTGCTATTTCTTTGCTTTTTTGTATATAGGTATATCCAACTGTACACTTTTACTGCGTTTTCTTCCTTCGCAAACTAGTGCACACTTAACAGGATTATGTCGTCAATTTTTGCAATCTTGTGCTTCTCATATTGTTTCACTTGGAAATTGATTTTCACCGTCATACACGTTGAATTGCGTTTCCAATTCCGATCCATCCAGCAGCGCGCGGCAACAGTAGAAGCAATGAGGAGGAGTGAGATTTATGCGGCACACTCTCTAGTCACAGTAACCCATGCCAGCCAGCCAGCCAGCCAACCAACCAAGGCAACCAGCCAGCACACTTTCACTAGCCGCCGTGTGCGCTGCAAAAGCCTACTTGTTTTCACTGCTCTGCTTTTTCCTCGTGCACATACAGAGACTCTCTCTTCGAGCTCTGGTTGTATCTTTCTTTTTCACTACGCGAGTCGGCTTTTACCAGCTTGTTTTCATTTGCAACTTCACTAATCACAGTAAGCCTGGAGACACGTTTTTGCTTCCATGCAACTATATATATACATATCGATATATATCTTTCGCACACACAGGTTGCTTCTCGATTCAATAGCCTTATCTATTAAAGCAAATACGCAACCGATAGAGATCACATTAACGCTTCCTATAACGCCTAACAAAAAAAAAACTCCCGACGTGCACTTTTTTGGCTCCGAAATTTGTACCCTTGAAAATGTGTTTCCTGTTGTCCTCGAAGGCGAGAGGCAAGACAGAGAGATCGATCGATCGAGATCGCGACGCGATCACGTTTCCACAGCTTTGATCAACTTGCAAGAGCGCACTACTATCCACCGGAGGAGTGACTGCTAAAATGCGACCACCGACATCAACGGACTAACTGTAAAGCTTTGCCTTGTCTTACTGAACACCCAAAGAGCCCTCGCTGCCGATACTCGGTGGTGTACTCAGCACTCCTCGAACTCCCCGCTCACTGCTACACAGAAACAGAGAAACATGGGCTACCACCGCGCTCTCGAGTTCGATATACACAGTATGCGGAAAAAGCCCCAAGCAACAGCCACACATAGGAAAGCTCGCGCTCTCAATGATGGGGAACTCAGTTTATCCAAGGAAGGCATCAACCAGTGTCAAGTCAAGCATTCCACTGACCCTGGAAGCAAAGTCGAACGTCTACTCACTTACCGTGAAGTAGATCAGGAAGATTGTCGATAAGTAGTGAACTTTCTGCTGTGATCTTTTCAGTGGCGATGGCATTCATAGAGAATACTTGTCACTCACTGTGCTGTGCTGTGCTCTCAATTACCAAAATGCACACACACACACACATACTCGATCGCAGCAACCGTCGACGGAGATGGTGACGACGGTGACGCGCACACATTTCTGCGCATCTGGAGTCTCCGCGCTCCGCTGTGGCGAGAGTGTCGTTATAGTTGGCCTTGAACTTATCCGAATTGAATGTTACCATCAGCAACCCATAGATATATGTATACATGTACATCGCACCGAGTGGTTTATTTTTATACCCACATGGATGGCGTACATGCCGGGGGTTCCTGGCTCCTACCTAGTTGTTCTTGATTGCTTTTTTTCGGTGCTAATGTTCTCTTTATTCCTCTGAAGAACTATCCATAAGCATCCACTCCATGCGTCATTAGAAGGAAATTGATTATTCCAGTATTGGGTTATTGCGTTTGACATTGTTTAACCTCAAACCGGAAATTACGTTTCGATTAATGATAATACGAGTCATCTTTCCGCCTACGCTCTTATGTGCAGGCTGGAATTTGAGCGGAATCAAATTACATTCTCGCAAATAACCTCGCCTCCAGGTTAAGTTGGGTTGGGTCGGGTCGGTGCAGCGACATCAGCAGCACAACCAGTGATGACGAGACGAAGTCAGCGGGAAGGACGAGAAAGTGTAGGAGGTGAATAGAAAAAAAAAAACGCTGTCCTTGACTCGTGATAACCTTGATTCACCCCCTATATTTATTTCATGTTTACGCTCGCCTGCTCTTCTTTATATGTAAACGCGAAGCTCAGTTGCTTTGGTAGGAAAACTCGCTCTCGCTCACCACTCGCTCGTGAGTGTCTCCTGTGTTCATGTTCACAGCACACAGCATGCTACGCTGATTGCAGAAATTATGGGAGACTTGCTGGCAGCATAATCAAAGCTCATTCCCAATCGA